TTCAAGCATGTTTTTATGCACTTATTTGCTATTCATATATCCTCTTTAATCAAGTATATCTCCAAATCGTTGACCCACTTTTTAATCTAGTTTTCATTTTCTTATTGTTGAGTTTTGAGTTCTTAATATATTCTAGATACAAGTTGCTTTTTAGAAAGCTGTTTTTCTGCCTTTGCTTGTCTTTTTATTCCCTTTTCAGGGTTTTTTTTTCTTTTCTAGCAGAGAATTTTAATTACGTTATAGTTCAATTTATCAAGTTTTAAAATATTGATAATGCTTTTGGTGTTGTATCTAAGAAATTTTTGCCTAATTCAAGCTCAAAAAAAGTTTATTTTCCTCTTTCCTTCTAATAGTTTTAGTGTTTGAGGCTTCATATATGAGTCTAAGATTTATTCTGAGCTCATTTTCTTATAAGGTATTAGGTGTGAGTTGAGTTTCACTATTTTGCATTAAGACACTCAACTGTTCCAGCACTATGAGTTCAGAAAATATTACCCCTTACCTGCCTGATTACTTTCCACTTCTGTCAAATGTCAATTGACCATACATGTTTAGATTTGTTTCTGAAATTTTTTTCTGTTCCATTGATTTATATGTTTGTTCTTTTATCAATATCATACTGTCTTTGTTTCTGTTACTTTGTAAATTATGAAAGCAGGTTCCCTGATTTCCAAATTTGGCCATTTTTTTTTCCTTCAAAATTGTTCAGCTGTTCTAGTTCTTTGATTTTTCTTATAATTTTAAAATTACCCAGCTTATTTCTACAAAAAATTCTTACTGCAGTGTTTATCAGGATTGCACTGAATCTCTAAACCTGTTTGGGTATAATTGACATCCAGCAATATTGCATATTCCAGTCTATGAATATCTTATATATCTCTGTTGATTCAAGTCTTTGATTTCTTTGTCACTTTGGTTTCCAGCTTCCATCATACTGATCCTAAACATATTTTGATAGATTTATTTGATATCTTTTGTGTTATTATAAATGGCAGTTTTTATATTTAAATTTCCACTTCATAATTATGAATATATGGAAATATAAGTGTTTTTTATATATGAACATAGCTAATCCTGTAGCTTTGCCAAATTCATTTATTCTCATAGCCATTTGGTAGATTCCTTAGAATTTTACATGCAGACAACTATGTTGTCTGTGAATAGCAATGCCTTTCTTTCTTTCCAATCTGCATGACATTTATTTCTTTTTTCTTGCCTTTTTGCCCCTAATGGGACATTCAGTAAAATGTTAAATTGGATTGGTGAGAGAGATCAAACATCCTTGCCTTATTCCATGTCACTGGGGGAAAGCATTTATTCTTTCATCCTTAAGTTTGGTGCTAGCTGTAGTTTTTCTGTAGATGCCCCTTATCAGGTTGAAGAAGGTTCTTCAATTTCTGATTTGTTGAGTCTTACTATCGTGGATGAATATTAAGTTTTTCACATCCTCTTGCAGCATTTATTCAGATGCTCGTATGTTGTCCCTTGTCTCATTCTGTCAATGTGGTGAATTTACATTGATTTATTTTCTGCTTCCCCTATTGCTTCTAACCAGCTGCTTTACTATGGGGCTAAATCTGGATTGTGTATGTTTGTTTTTCATCACAATTTCTACTCTTTTTCCAATAACTGGAAGATTCCCTGGGCATGGGGGGAATTCCGTTTTTAGCTCTAGCCCTCTTTGGGCCATTATTCTAATTTATGAACCAAGCCCTTTTGTGAAAGGAGTTGGCGGCAGGAGAATTGAAGTACATCTGATCTTAGTGTTGATTCTATGATGCATTTTTTCTCCCTAGGATATTCCTGAGATTGAGATTCTGATATTTGTATTTTACAGATAAAACTCTGCAAAGAAAATGCCTAGCACTTATGTCTGCAGTAACTCCTGCCAAGGTTTACTGTTGCTTGTTCATCATTGCAGTCCTCACTACAAGTGTGATTGTACTTTCTATTGTTTTGTCAGGTAAGTTGCTTGTTCTCCAAACTGTACAATATTCTTCATATGTTTTTGTTGTCAATAAATATTTATTAAGCTCCATTATGTGCCTGTCACTGTGTGAAATGCTTGAATTACATCAACAAACAAAACACACACAAAAGAATTCCTACTCTTCAGAACTTATATTCCAGCAGAAAAACACAAGTAAAAATAAATAAGGGTGGAGGTACAATGGGTTGCAATAGACTGACAAAACTAAGCTTTCTTGGGAAGATGACATTTCAGCAACCTTTTGAAAGAGGTGGAGGAACCTATTCCAGACAGGACTCTTCCTGGCTTATTTGAGGAAGAGCAAGGAGGCTGCTGTAGGTGAAGCAGAGTGAAGATGGAGAAGAAGAGTGGTACCATGGGGCATCAGGAACAGAGGAACCTTGAGGGACAGTTAAAGACTTTGGCTTTTACCTTCAGTGCAATAGGGAGACTAGATGAGGGAAGTTGTATGAGAGGAATGTCATGATGTGACTTTCATTGTAGAATAATCATTTGATTGCTATATTGAGACTAGGTAGGGGCGGGTGGTCAGATTCTGGATATTTTGAAAGCTGAGCCAACAGTATTTTATATCAAATTGGATGAGAAGTCTTAGAAAGAGAAATGCCTAAGGTAAGCCTGTCTTTTCTTTTGAGCCTTGGCAAGAATGCATTTGCCATCCATTGATATGAGAAAGGTATAGGAATTCCACTTACAGAACTATTTCCTGACAAGTTCCTCTCAGAATTGTCATTTTTATTAAAAATAAAGTAAGATCTCTACTTGAAATGTTTTCAGGCAAATCATCTGGCCTTAAGAGCTGGTATCTTCTACTGAAGCAGATTGAGAATGCACGAAAGTACAGAGAACTGTATACATAAAAAAATCATCTCGTGTATACAGAGGTAATAGGTCCTCAGCATTGCTTTGTCAAGAGGAAGAAGGGCTAATATGAGGGAGAATATGGAAAAATCATCTGTATGACCTGTGAAAGTACAGTACTATGGAAGTCGATACTACAGAAATTGATTTCCTTGAAACTGTTAGGGTCAGTGTAAATTTCAGAAAGTCAAGAGTGCAGACACCCAGCTGGAAACCACTGGACTGATGATTGCTGTGCTTAGGATAAGGCACTTTGTGATGAGTTAGGAAAACAGCAATCAGATATGTACACCTCAAAACCGACCTCAGGAAAGCAAGCAGAAAAATAGGTAAAAGGGGTGAGAACATTTATTTATTATGTTTCATTGTGATTGTCTCACTTTTAGCAAGAAAGGAAAAGTGAGTGGTAGAGTCACCTAAATACGCTGCTTGGCCAAAAAGCTGGGTTAGATTTAGGAGTAAATGTTTTTATTTTTCTGAAGACATAAGAAATTGGACATTGAATCAAACATTCTGTGTCTCATTAGAAGCCAGCCTTGCTCAGTTTGCAACTATGGAGGAACTGGTAAGACATATTTTTGGATCATGTTTTCTGTCAAATACTTAGCCCCCTGAGGCAGGTCGGCTACATAGGGTTAAAGCTAATATACTAGGAAGAATCCCATTCCAGGGGCATGAGACGTGTTTTCATGTCTAACATTTGTTGAGGGTGTGTTCTCTGCCTGGAACCCTGTGAGACATTTTAGATGTATTTCCTCATGTAATTCTCACAGTGAACCTCTAAGATGAGATGTATTGTTCTCATTCTATTAAGATGTAAGGTAATTATATAATTTGTCATCTAGATTAAGATATATAGGGTATTAAAAGTGATCATTAATACATTGGTGGAATGACAAGCATAAACTGGGAATTTCCCAATGAAACTGGGATATATGCTCACTTTAAATAAAGTAATTTAGGATCAGAGACATTAAATGACTTAAACTGAGAATTGGGAATTAGTCTCACTCCAGAGTTTATGCTGCTTAATTACACCATGCTGCCAGTCAAAAAGAGAAGGGATAGGGAAGAGAGACTCCAGAGTAATATGAAAGAAAGGGATGCACAGTGTTACTTTCTGTTTTATTATAGAATTTCCGGAAAAGATACAAAGCCCCTTCCAACCATTGGATTGGCCTTAGAAGAGAATCATCCCATCACATTTGGAGATGGATGGACAACACAGAATATAATAACACGCATGTTTTGAGACTTCTCATCTTTCTGCTGTGTTTATGTATGGTTATGTGTGTGAGTTGTGTTTATGAGATAAGAAATGTAGTATGATGGAAAACTTAGTGCAATATGAGGTAAGAAGTCTAAACTCTTTTTATGCTCTTCCATTTATTAGCTGTGTCTTTGGGAAAGCTTTACCTAACTGTGATTTCAGTTGAAATCTTTAACATGACAGTGACATTTGACACAATTTTACGCTTTCATCCACTGATTTAAAACTGCTGAAATCCCTGCTTACAGCTGATGTACAACAAAGGTTCTACAATCATAGGAAGCCACTGAGGAGCTGATATCCACAAGGCTGTTAAGCCCACTCTTCCAGCTGTTGCATCCATTTACAATAGGAAAGCATCCAGGGAACTCATGGGAATCTGTCTCTCCTAAAATCTTATCACCAGAAGGAAACTAGTAACAGTTCCTTGGACTGTGAACATTTCAAAGGGGTATTTTGAATATAATCATTACATTACAGCAGATAAAATGTAGGAACCCAGTCATATCCATTAATCAACGCTAAGCCCTTTCAGGAATTTACTAGTGTTTTTTTTTTGTTTTTTTGTTTGTTTGTTTGTTTTGTTTTGTTTTGTTTTGTTTAATTTTCACACATTTATAAAACAATTTGGGAGGAGACTGGAAATCATCTTGATGGAAGACCACCAATGGCAGCAGTTCATTTGGGTGCAGCAGCAAGCATCAGTTAAATACCTATCAACATAGCTGGGCTTGGTGTGGATAAATGATAAGCTTGTGATTTTCAAGCAAGGACCTTGAGGATATAAAGGACACTAAATACAGAAATGGTTTATATTACTATGAAGCAATATTAATGACAGACTTTTGCTTTTCTCTTATCCACATTAAAATATGGAGGGGGTACAGAAGATGATAGGTGAGGAACAAATGCAGGTGTCTCACTTATAAATATGTAATATTTTTGTGTTTGGATTTAGGCTTGCTATCAGAGGAGGTGGAGAATGTGCCTTCCTGAATGACAATGGAGTCAGAATCTTTATAGACAGAAAATGGATTTGTAGCAAGCCAAACAGTTATGTCTGCAGTTGCCAGTTATGTCCCCACTGGGATCCTACCTAGTAGAGCGTTGAGAAGAGGGCCACCATCCTCCAGACTCCAGAATGGTAGATTCATCAGCAGCTTCCACCATGCCCCTAGAAAAACTGCAAGGAACAGACCTGCACATGTATCCCCTAAATCTAAAATAAAAGTTGGAAAAAATGGAACTTGATGTTAAGATGCACTGATACAAAATTTAAATTTTGGTCTCCTACATTAAAACAATATGAGTATCTTAAAATATTGAATTGTTCTTAGTAAGATTACAAGAGGCTTTGATTTTTAACTCTGCAATGTTTCCTTAACAGCCATTCTCTGAATTACAGACTAATTCCTATTTCTGCCACATTCCTTCCTGAGAACTGTCTAGTCCTGGTTTGGGGTTTATCTTAAAGGTCTAGAAAGGCAACATTTTACTTCAGCATAACTTGATTCTGTATTGTTGTTTTTTCTTAATGTGTCAAAATTGTTTTGTTACCAGGACTTCCTATGTTGTTACTAAACAAGTAACAACATATAATTTGATAAATGCAATAATTTGATAAATAATCCTTTGTGAACAAATATGGAAGCATTTACTTTTTCTCTCTACTTGATTCCTGCAAGTAGGAATATTCCCCTGATCAAGGCAACTGGCCTAGAAAACAAAGATTCTGTGTTTTACCAAGATAATTCCCAGTGCTTCATGGTGTCTTTATTAAACTTTGACTGCTTAGGGAAACTGAGCTTTAAAAGGGTTAAGGTTTTTACATCCATGTAACTTTCTGAGGTCTTTAGGTTGTCACTCTGATTAAATGAGTAGTATTCTTGGCAGTGACTTATGATCTCTTGAAGGAAGTATTTTAAGCTTTTTGACATCCTTGGCAGGTTTCTCTAGAATCCAAATCCTAAATTAAGCCTTTTGGCCTAACATTGACTGGGATTTTTCCAGGTGGGCCCCCTAGATATGCCCCCTCAAAAGGCATCTCTTTCTTGTAGAGATATTAAATGATTAGGCTTCTTTGGTAAATACTACTGGAAGCATTGTCAAATAAGAAATGATAAGAAATGGTGTTTTACCTTTCTTTAAGCTATGTTTGTGTAAGTTCATCATTTATAGAAATGTGAAATTTTATGAGATTCCTAAAATACTGACATGCTGAGATACCTGTAATAATTGCAATTTTTTTTGTGTTGGATGATTGTATGCCACAGAAATACTTAAATTTCCTTGTTAATTGATAACTTTAATCAGATCTTTACCTATGGCTGTTCTGGGTTTTTGTCATTCACAGTTATTATTTTAATTTCTTCTTTGGAAGCATTCGCAATCAGCTATAGTCCAAAATTGCTAATTAAAATCAAGCAAAACAAAATTAATTACATAAAATTAAGTCATAAGGATGTTTTTATGACTTCAATGTTTTATTTTCCAGAGCGAAGGAAATTTTCTGTCACAAGCTATCAATCATTTGCAATAATTTGATAAAGAATCCTTTGTGAACAAATATGGAAGCATTTACTTTTTCTGTCTACTTGATTCCTCCAAAATTCAGAAACTATTTGTGAATATTTTTATCGTTAGCTATGCAAGTTCAGTAAAAATCCACTCTGTCTTTATAAGCAGGATCCAATGGGGAATATTGGTTATATTGCTAAGGTTTGGCTTGAAATGTCATATTTAAGAATATGCATAGAGGCCAGGGGTGGTGGTTTACACCTGTAATCCCAGCATGTTGGCAGGCTGAGGTGGGTGGATCACTTGAGACTAGGAGTTTGAGATCAGCCTGGTCAAAATGGTGAAACCTCATCTCTACTAAAAACACAAAAATTACCCAGGCATTGTGGCACACACCAGTAGTCCCAGCTACTCGAGAGGCTGAGGCACAAGAATCGCTTGAACCCAGGAAGTGGGGGTTGCAGTGAGTAGAAATCACACCACTGCACTCCAGCCTGGGTGACAGAGTGAGACTGTGTCTCAGAAAAAAAAAAAAAAAAAGTGCGTAAAATGCCTTGCTTCATGAGTTCCCAGCTTCACAGGGAATGAGTAAAAATTGTCACTTTCTGGCAGGTTCAAAAACCTTGATTATAAGCAAAATCCAAAGGCTACTTTGGTTTTGTTTCCTAGCCTCAAGAGGTTCTAAAATCTAAGATCTCCTACATCATCAACAGGAGAGAAATATTATGCTTCTAAGGAAAGCAAAGTTGCAACTGTTTTTAGATTTTAACCCCGTACATTGTCTTCAAGTCCTTGTTGTCTGCCTGTAGACTGAACTAGATCCTGGATTCTCCTAAGTTCCTCCAATATTAGATTATAACAGTCCTGATGGAGTCCCCCAACGCTCTTGTCTCGATCCTGACTAGGGATGCTCCAGGGACATTCAGGTGACGTCCCCTTCTTAAAAATCTGACCAACTAGGGACATTAGATACCAGAATTGGGAACAAAGTAGATCCATGAGATACTATGGTCAGTAATGAGATTTTATTGGTCAGTGAATCTTTTTTTTTTTTTTTTTTTCAGATGGAGTCTCACTCTGTCTCACCCAGGGTGGAGAGCAGTGGCATGATCTCAGCTCACTACAACCTCCCATCTCCCGAGTTTAAGTGACTCTCCTGCCTCAGCCCCCCAATTAGCTGAGGTTAAAGGCATGTGCCACCACACCTGACTAATTTTTATATTTTTAGTAGAGACTGGATTTTGCCATGTGGGCCAGGTTGGCCTCTGGCCTGGAACTCCTGACCTCAGGTGATCCACCTGCCTTGGCCTCCCAAAGTGTTGAGATTACAGGCGTGAGCCACTGCACCTGGCCTGCTCAGTGACTTCTAATGCTTGCTGCTGTACCTGGGTAAATACTTCCAGTCATATTTAAATGGGCTTAAAGTTGGCAAAATCTCTGAAAGAGACATCTTCAGAAAGTCTCCTAACGGAACTTAGTGGATAAAGTTTCCGATGTCCAGGTATATTCAGCTGGTTTCCCCCTGGTATAGGATTTCTTCTGCGTTCTACCCTACACGTCTTATGATACCCCTCATATTTTGGCTAAGCATTTGACTCCTCTTTAAAATTGTTCTAACTGGTTTTTAACAGATGTCTACAAGAGATCCCCACCAGGATCCTGCCCACGCAATCCTTGAGACTTTAAACTCACTCCCCCTGGAAATAGGAACCAACTTAACCCAAGAGACTTTGGTTCAAATGTAACCAGTACTTTCCTGAATGCCTCTCCTAACTAAATGGCTCTAGCTGCCCTATTGGCCACTGCAGTGCCACTAGGATTCCTACAAGCGATCAGATGGGCCCAGAGCAGGTAGCCAACCACTTCTTTGTTGGATGGAATGCAATGCTGTTTGCCAGCGGGTTTGAGCCAGTCCTTCAAGACGGATTCTGAGTGACTAACTGGACATAAATTTAAATAGCACCCATTTGCTAACTAGATTTCATACAAATGCTCTGAGTTCCTGGAAAACCCACACTCCTTAACTTTGGGACTTTCGAGACTCACCTAAATCAATCCATCAAAGCTCACCTGTGTCAGCTAATCAGGGATCAGCTGTATTGACTAACGAAAACTAAGGGAGTTTCAAATTTTAACCATTCATTTGTGAAGAAGACATGATTGGGAGCCTGGATATGAACATTTGCATAAAATCTGAGCATTCTCTTTGTTCTCTGGAGCAAATAATGTTAAGTTGTTAACTCTCTATACCTTTCTTTAGAACTGGATGGAAACAACTCCACCTGAAATGCAGCCCTGATATCAGGGAACTCCTATAGCAAAACACTAAACAACTTTATTACTCTAACCAATGTTTATGTCCCTAATCAGCAAGAAGTAGTTAGAATGGTCATCATCCCTTTCCCTCAAGATTATGGAATGGACATAAAAAAGAAGGGGGTTTGTAACTGCACCAGACTAATCTGTTGTCAGAAAGGTGCTCCTGAACCAGACCCCGAAAGAGGGTTCTTGGATCTCCTGCAGGAAGGAATTCAAGGAAAGTCACAGAGTGTGGAGAGAATAGACAGTTTATCGAAAGCTACTAAGTTACAGCGTAGGGCATCCTCCAAAAGCAAGAGGAGGAATGTGCTGTCTTTGTTTTAAACTCTTCTTTTATAGGGGTTTTATCTATGTTAAAGCTAAGCTATGTCCACATGTGGGTAGGCTGTCAGTATGACAAAATTTAGTACTTTGTTGATATAAAGAAACTTACCCTTGTCATCTTAGTGCATAAGTACATCAAAGTATGACTCTAGCTATCTTAAAAGCATGTATCGTTATGTGATATTGGGACATCTGGACATTCTATTGTCATAGGAGTTTGTCCTTGCAGCATTACTAAATCACTTCCTTAGCTGTAAACATCTTATAACCGTAGGTCATGACTGGCAAGGAACATGCCTTGTTAGTTTTTTGATGGAGCTGATTTTAAAATAGTGTCACTCTGGCTTTCCTATGTTCCTGCTTTCCTAACAAATCTGGTTCAACTTTTTTTTTTTTTTTTTGATTCAATATAATGTGTTTTTTCCATGCTACCTCATTTACAGCCTATAGATATGGTTGGTCTATGTGTTTCCTTGTTCAGCTATGATTCTTACTTTTTTTAATCACACATGCTTTATGGCGGCTTCCACTACCATGAGCCATATTTTCTATGTTACCAGCAACATGTTTGGGTTTGTTTTTTGTTTTGTTTTTATTTCAAATTTTACTTTAGATTTAGGAAGTACTTGTGCAGGTTTGTTAACAGGGGTATATTGCATGACCCTGAGCTTACAATACCAACGAGCCCATCACTCAGGTAGTGAGCATAATATCCAATAGGTAGTTTTTCAGAACTTGCCTTATCTTCCCTCTCTCCCTGCTCTAGTAATTCCAAGCCTATTTTTCCCATTTTTATGTCCACGTGTTCCCAGCATTTAGCTCCCACTTATAGGTGAGAATATGTGGTATTTGTTTTCCTGTGCCTGCATTAATTTACTTAGGATGATGGCTTCCAGCTGCATCTTTTGTTGCAAAGGACATGACTTTGTTCTTTTTTATGGCTGTGTAGTATTCCATGGTGTATATGTACCCATTTTCTTTATCCAATACGCTGTTGATAGGCATCTACATTGATTCTATGTCTTGGCTATTGTGAATAGTGCAGCAATGAACATGCATGGTTCAACTTTTATGGTAACAAAGTTGTGAGTTGTTCTTCAGTCGTCATGGACCGTCAGGTCATGTAACCTGAGCATGGGCAGGTGAAACAAGTGTGCAACCACAGGGAAACCTAATCTTTCAGACTGAGGTACAGGCACCGAATGAAGAAGTGGACACAGGATGGCAAGATCCAGGATCCAACTGGATAGAACCCTGGCATCACTTCATGGCAGGATGCAGTCAGATCATGCCTCCCAGCATCACCTCATTGCAAGATCCAATCAGATTATTCCTCACTACCCTGTGCTTATAAAACCTGACCCAACTCCCAGTTGGGGCAGGCACTGCTTTGGGAGCTTTGTCCAGTGTTCTCTTGACTTTCTGTAAGTAATAAAATCTCCTTGCTAAATCCTCCCTGGCTGTGGTCATTGGGTTGATACCTGACAAGTGACTGAACCCACCTGCTGTGTGGGTAACATTTAGAACATATTTTCCATGTCTTTATTTTCCTTGACTCTCTGCATTAGTGTCTGTGCACCAGATAAAACAACTTCCTCTCCAGTCTTCACAGGCAGGTCTCATACAGGAGAACACCTTTGCCAATCAGTCCAGACAGAGGTTCTAGGTGCCACTGAAACCTTCATGGTAGTTGAAACCACAATGTTTGTTCTTAATGGTCCTCAGGCATCTAGAGTATGCCAGGTCCTTTCAGTGCTCTCAGTTACGTGAGATAAAATCCAGTTCCTCAGGTAGCAGCCAGAATAACTGGGGTGCTAGTTATTTGGTCTGTGTCCTTTGCTTTTCAGAGAGAAGCCGGAAGCTGGGCTTGATCACTCTGCACTGAGCCAAAGTGGGGAGCAGGGGGAAGTACCCACATGCTTATTAAAAACTGCTCTGAAAATATTTGAAGTACCAGGGCTGTAACAATTATTATTTTAAAAACAACTGCTGTTTTGTTTTGTGTAGCCCCAGAGGTTTAGCAGATGCTGGGCCCTGTCAGCTCAGCAAAACAGGGAAATTAGAAACCAGTCCCTCTGGTAGTCTCTAGAGAAGTTGTGATACCAGATACGTGGTCCAAACCCTTCACTCCTCAGGGATAGGCTAAGAGATGGGAGTTCCTTCCCGATCATAGGGCATTGTATTAGGGCTAGGGGTTATGATCAGTGTGTGAAAGTTTTTTCCTACCAGTTTTGATGTGGATAGTTTAACACTCACCTAGGGTGCAGGAGTGGCTCATCAGTTTCTGGATTTCCAGTGATGAGAATTTGCCCGTGTGTTGCTGTCCAATTGATGTGTCCAGGATGATGAAGGAGAGTTTAGGGCCTTCTATTCTGCCGCCTTGTGACTCTGACAGTTTCTTTCAATGTTAAACTATCATACGATCTAGTTACTACATTGGTAGACATTTCTCTCACACGAGTGACAACTTATATTTACACGAAAGCCTGTATATAAAATGTTCATAACAGCTTTATTCATAATAGTCAAAACTTGTGAACATATGTCTCACAGTGGGTGAATAATGAAGTAAACTCTGTTACAGGCATACAATGGAATACTACTCAGCAATAAAAAGGAACGGGCTATTGATACATACCACAACTTCCTTGAATCTCAAAGTACTTAGGCTAAGTAAGAAAAACCAATTACTGAAGATCACATTCTGTATGATTTAATTTATGTAACATTCTTGAAATGACAAAATTGTACAGATAGAGAATGAGGGTTATGGATGGGTGAGTGGAGAAGAAGGGGTAGAATGGAGAAAGGGTGGTGTGGATCTCTGTGGTGATGGAAGAGTTTTGTTCCCTCATTGTATCAATGGCATTATCTTAGTTGTGATATTATAGTGTAGTTTTTTAGATGTTACCATTGGGAGAAACTAAGCAAAGAAGATGTGGGATCTTTCTGTAATATTTCTTACAACTGCATGTGAATCTACAACTAGCTCAAAATAAAAAGTTTAATTATAAGATAAAAGCTACATGAAATGAAGCAAAAAATAATTCACCCTTTTCATGCACACAGAGTCAGAGACTGTGACATAATTTGCAGGATCTAGTGCAGAATACAAATGTAAAACCTCTGGTTCAAAAATTATTAATAATTTTGAGACATTGACGATAAAGCATTAAACCACCTATGGAGCGCTTTAAGCATGATGAACTGTGCTACCACACAGATTGCACATTCACATATCTAGTCCTGCAAATGGAATGAGTTTTGCCCATGATCCATTCACCATTGCCTCTTTGGCTCAGTGAATTTCCTTCTTCAGGAGGGTAATTTTCTCTTCTTTCTCTGCTAAGCTGTTTAACAGTAGTTGCCCTGCCTAATGGGCTTCATCCATTTCTCTCAGATCGTTTTCATGATGCACTAGGATGAAGCACACCCTTTCTCCTAGTCTTGAGGAAACATCGATATTCAGAATATTTAAATCCAGGCACCGACCAATCAGAAGAGTTTCTGGCCAATGTTCCACACTTGAGGGAAATGACATTATCTGAACCCTGAAGAAAAAGGTTGTAGATATTCTCCAGATCAAAGCATCGCCAGGAAGATTTTAGTTGTTGAAGTTCGTAATATTTCCTAAAGCAGGTATGAATTACTAGTAACTTAATAGGTATATTAACTGATGAAGTTTTCATTTCTCAGAACAAACCAGTCAAGGAAGGAAGGTGCTATTATACTCCTTTTATTCATAGAGATCTTGAGGCTGACAGAGTTTAATCAATATACTATAATTATTGTGTAATAATAAATTACCATAAACGAGGGGTGCTATGATCTCAATATTTGTGTCTCCCACTCCCAAACTCACACGTTGAAATCCTGACTCTCAAGGTGATGGCATTAGCAGATAAAAGCTTTGGGAGGTGATTAGGTCATGAGGGTAGAACACTGATGAATGGGATTAGTGCCCTTACAAAAGGGACCCACCAAAGTTCCCTTGTTCCTTCCACTATGTGAGGACACATCTAGAAGGTGCCATCAATGAACCAGAAAGTAGGCCCTCACCAGGCACCAAATCTGCCAGCATTCTGATCTTGGACTTCCAGCCTCCTGAACTGTGAGAAATAAATTTCTGTTGTTTGTAAGTTACCCATTTTATGGTATTTTGTTATAGGCCACATGAACTAAAACAAGTGGATTAAAAACAACACAAATTACTATCTTACTGTCTAGAAATGAGAGATTCAAAATGGCTAAAGTCAGGGTGAAACTGATAGGGCTGCGTTTCTTTTGGAGGCTCTAGGGAAGAAGCTGTTTCCTTGCCTTTGTCAGCTTCCAGAGGCCACCTGTATTCCTTAGCTTATGGTCCCTTGCTA